GACTAAATAATAAGTCTACATTAGTTTACACAGTAGACGTTAATGTAAGTCTACCTAGTTGTAGACTTCTTTCTTAAAGTGTAGACCTACGAAGGACAGAATCGTAAAATATACTGCACGTTTTTTGTTTGTTCATAAGGGTTAAATAGTAGTTTTAACACCCCTTTAGGTTGGGTTTGCAATTGATTGAATAAGGGGTTCACCTTTAGGGTTAAAATGAATATTTGGGTTGGTTTTGGCAATTCCCCAAAAAAATATTAGTGAGTTTTTATGCATGATTTTTGGTGTCACATATTACACATACTAGATCCTTTCTCCGCGCTACGCGCGGATTATATTATTTAATATTTTATTTCATTAAAAGTATTTTTATATTATTATGTTCATTGAATTGTTTAAGTTTATATTTAATTTAATAAGATATATGTACTTTTATTAATTTATTATTGAAACAAATCCATGAAAATACATCAACTAAATATCATTAAGCATTTTAATATCTAACTTTTTTTCTTATCCAATTTCATAACTAAATTAATTATTTCATTATTTTAAAACTGCACATTTTAATATCCAAACTATTTATAAGTTCGAATGAAAATTTTAAAAAGCTTCAAAATTGATCACAATAAATTTCAAAATTTCTATTTTTTGTTTTAAGCTATAGGAATAAAGTTTCTAAACTGTGGATAATATTTAAAACTATATTATTAGTTGTAGTTTACATTTAAAATTTAGTTTCTTTCTGAAGTTTTAAATTAATTAATATATTTATTTAAATAATTTTAAATTTAATATATTATCCACAACTTAGTTACTTTATTCCTAAATTTGAAATTAAATATGAAAATTTTCAGATTTATTTTTATTTAAAAGTTTTGTTTAGAATTTATATAAATTTTTGATTAAAATGAACATAAGTTGGGTAGTAAAATGAGCACATATATTAAAATGAGAAAAATAGATTACTTATACCTTATTCTACCTGAAATTAATTAAAAACTATCGAATGTAGTTAGGTCAACTTTTTGTTATTTTATTAATTTCAAATAATTTTTCTAATTTAGATTAGTTACCATTTCTAATTATATACTTTTGTATATTTAATTATACTGTTGAAGTGATAGTTCCTTATTTGGGTCATTATGATTTGATATAAATAGTTATTTTAATATAGTATTGTATAATTAGATACAAAAAAAAATAGTACGTGTAAGAATTTAAATAATGTAGACATGTTTTTCTTCTTTTGTTTTTTTTCTTCGTCCCATGTTAATATTTATAGGTATATAAACATTTGGTTCGTCGTTTGGCTATGGTTCAGTTTTTATTTTTTTAGTTCCAGAGATATATGACATGTTTGGTTATTTATAAATTCAGTTTGGTTTTCGTTTCGTTTATTTGGTGTCCGGAAAATGTATCCACATCTATACAATATGTTATATAAAAATATAAAAATATATTTTTTAATTCTAAAATAAATCCATATTTTAAAAGCATAGATCAAAATCTAGTATACATAGGAAACTTTTTTTGTTGTCAAAAATATAGGTATAAACTTATTTCATACCTTTTTATTTAATGACCGAAATAAAATATTGACTGATTTTAAGGTGATACCTAACCTTTCTGTTAAATAATTTTTTTTTGTCTTTGACATTGTCAAATAGTTATATTAAACATTGCATATATATAATTAGATGATATACCAAAATGTTTTATTTATAACTGAGACCATGGGAACAGAATAGATGTTAAATACATTACTTGAAACGTTGGCATCATTTTGCTACATACGAATTATATTTATATTTTATATTAAGTATTTTATTGGTCTTTAACATATATTTTAATAATGTTCTGAATTGTAATGTATTTATGATTATTTTTTAAATTATGTATTTTTTTCTTATTGTGTACTTTTCTTACATATGTTTTAGATTAAATATTATTAGCATGTACTTTGAAAACATGCCTTAATTACTAAAGTTAAGTTGTACCAAATAAAATTATGTAGTTATTAAATTAAATCTATTTAAAATATAAATTAAATATAATATAGATTTTTAATTGATATCTATTTTGTTGTGTTCGTTAATTGTTATAGTTAATAATCCACATCTACATATTTTTAATAAAAAATCATGAGAAACTAACATATTTTTTTAATGTTGGTGGGGAAAATAACCTAACACGTGATAATAACTAAATATGAATACATGATATCAAATGTGCCAAAAAATATCCTGAAAAACTAACATAAATCAAAATCTAAAGTAGATTATCTGAAGTCTTTACTATATAGTACACAAAGCAATTCTCCTAAAATGTCCACCTTTTTCTGCACCAACATGATTTGGGAAAAGTGTTAAGCCAAGCTCTTCGCAGTTTTGAAGAACTGAGCCATGGCTTTTTTTGACGTCCCTACGAACACACGTGTGCTAGGTTGAGTATAAGCCTTCTGGTCCAGTAATCTTTACCAGTCTGACATACATTTTCTTTCAGCTTCTTGAATTTAATATAAAGCATTTCTACTTTCACCTCAATAAAGTAAACTACCCACCTATGATTTTTTGAATCTCTTCAGCTAAAGCATGAAGAGAATAGAACAGGTAAGCTGGATCAACATTTCCCTGCACTCTAACATCTCTCCTCAAGCGACTCCTTCCATCAGCCATATCTACAATCCAGTCAAGTCCAAAAACATCAGCTCCAGTTCCTTTCACCCTGCTCAAGAAGGCCACATATTCTCTTTACGGCATGAATGATCTTGCAAACCCAAAAGAGGAAGAGAAAACGTTAAAACACCAAAAGAGAATCTTTCCAAGCCTCAAAATGGAAAAGTAAATTTGCCTCGACATTGATTACTTATTAGTGACACTTGAGTAATTAGATTGTATAAATCAAGGTGACACTTTAGTAATTCAGGGTGGACCCAAAACCTGAAAAAATCATTCAAAGAGCAAAATGAGACAACAACACACAACAATCAAGAAACAAAACAACCTTTTAAAGAACTCCTGCTAAACCTTGTCGAAAGCAAAACATCTATCAATGTGCTTTCCAGCAATACTCTGAGTAGCAGCAACTTCTCTACGATGCTCGTTACATGATATCACCACCGGTGTAAGTAAACTTGCCTACTCCTCGATCAATGGCCTAAATGAGAAAGATTCAAAGTAAAAACCCCAAACATAAGAGAGCAAGCAAAAGCTAAAAGAAGCTTTACCTGCAACGGAGTATGACCTGGACATTGATACCCTTTTCTTTATCATTCCTATTGGTTGAGTCAGAAGAAGATCTGGATTCTCTGGCGGATTTATCACCTGATCGTGGTGTCTGAGCTGGAGAGAGAGATGCAACACCACCACCTCTTCTTTGCTGCTGCTGCATCGAATCTGATCTGCTGAAATTGTCTACCATTTAGCTCCTCCCCCTGCACAAACAAATGCCATCGCATCAACTCAGAAGCTAAAGTTACAAAAAAATTTAAACTAAAAATCCTAAGAAAGTTCGCGGCTTTGATCCAAAGTTAGCAACTTTAGTGACTCAATCGAACGTTATGCGAGACGCCCAATTCATAATTCAACATTTAATTCAAACATCCACACACACACAAAGAACAAACTGCTATATATATATGCACAGAACATCTCACCATTCTGAAACACAATCTTCGCAAAATATGTGCTTGCATCCAAGAAGAATTGGTGTGTGCATCTTCTCCTGGCATATGGCACACAGGTCGCCCGCAGCATTCACCTGCACATGTCTCTTGCTTGTTTAGGCTTAGAATATTAAAGAGGCATTAGCTATATATTTGAATCTTCTAAAACACTACCTTCTCTGCAGTTGCATACGATCTATGGACCATAATGCACCTCTTTACGTGACAAAGACTTTACCATCAGCCAGCTACTACTACTTCCAGAAAATAATAATAAAAGAAGGTGATGAAATTCTGGAGAAACACTTACTTTCTCAACTACAGAAGTGAGCTTGAAAGTCAGGTACAGTCCTGTCATAAGAGAGGAGAAGAGGCTTCCATAATCCTTGTTCAAGAAGAAACAGTACCATACAAGGGTAGGCAGCAAAGAGCGGTACAAAAGCATCAAATATTCAACCAAAGTTAGCAATTGACCCTTCAATTAAAGAGAAAGTAAAATAACCAAATTATGATCGCTTACCAAAATATATATCACACAGTAAGCTTAAAGTGAATAAAGCTCAAAGGGACAAAGAAGAACCCGAGGTCTTAGGGTGAATATGGAGAAACAGTGACAATGTAAAACTCGAGGTCTAAGGGTGAAACTTGACCCACCTGAGAATACTGAGAAAGTGGCCATTGAGTCTTAGCTCGCTTCTTCCCCACATTCGGCTTCTCACCATCCGTCAACACTTCACCTAAATACACAAAAACATTAGAAATGATAACTAATCAAACAAAATCGTGAGATAGACTTAATCAGACAAAATCGTGAGACAGACACCAAACTTGCTATTGTAAGTGTCTCCAAGACATCGGCTTCAGGTTTTTCTCGCCTTCAGGAGAGATCTCCATCACAGGGACATCAGTTCAAACATGCTTCTCCGCATACATAGCTTGCGGATCAGGGGATCCAATCTCTGGCCCTCCAGATTCCGATCCAGGATCCGAAACCGGTCCTTGATTCTCAAACGGAACCTCTCTCGCCGACGAATATCCCATCAGTTCCACCGTCGCCCCCTAAGTTTAAAAAAAAATCAAGAATCAGATTCGAAACCAAAAAAAAAAGGAACTCAGATTCATATCGATCTTAACCTTGACTTTAGATCTCTTGATTGGTTCGTATTGTGTGGATGTAACGGTTGATAGATTAGTTTAGGAAGGCTGGAGATATTAGGGTTGATTAAGAGTTGAACACTGACGGAGGGGAAGAGGTGGGTTTGATTACTGGGAGAACGGAAGAGAAATATGCTCAACTCAAACGGAGGAAGTCCAAGGGTGAGAGAAGTTGATGACTCTCTATGTTACTCCGCGATAAAAAATGAAATCAAAAAAAGAATCGGACTGAAAAAACCGTATGCTGTAATAAGCCAGACCAAGTCAATTTGATTTATCAGAGACAAAGTGGAATGATGTGGCTTTTTTAAGCAATCCTATTGGCTAAATATTTATGCACACGTGGACACCTCCAAATGCTTTCATTTGCAACTTTTAATCATAGTAGATAACTAGATCTCCTGATTTTCGCAATTCCTTTCTATTTAAACTGATGCTGATTTTTGTTGTTGTCATAAGTTTCATGCTGCCATACGTTTTCCTTTTAGAAACAAGTAATTAACAATTATTTAACAGTAAAAAATAAGAGTGATTAATTGTAGTTTTTTTTTTTACAAATCCTAAAAAAAACAAAACATGTATTTTCCCTTTTATTTTAAAATCCTAAACAAAAATAAATCCTTTTAGGAAATCCTAAAGAAAAGATAATTGTAACAAAATAGTTGATAGTAATGACTTTTTCTAAAATCTTAAACATTGAGAAAAATGTATAATAATGTTTAATAGTATTTTTTTTCAAATCCTAAACAAAAATTAATTGTAGAATAATTCTTCCAAATATTTTTATAAACAACTTTCCAATTTAAATAATTAATTTCTATATTAAAATCATAAACCAAAAGAAGCTGCAACTATTCACACCTATATATATATATATATATATATATATATATGTGACTAATTTTTTCTTCTATTTTGTCACTTCTCATTTTTTGTCACCAGATATAATAAGAGACAAGAAAAATATTAGGCGAATTTTTTTTTCCATAGTCTTTCACATTGCAAGTCATGCTATTAAAGAATTTAAATCAGTGAGAATGACTTTACAATGGAACAAGGTTGCTAATAACACACCTAGAAACAAGATTATTGAAGCCGAAATTCCAAAACTTAGTTGAAAATGAGTTATTATTCCTAGAATAAATCTCATACCAACAAAGCAAAATTGCATTTCAAACTGAAAAGACGTCAAATCCCTATACGAGTCTATGCAATGACTATCAACAAGAGCCAAAGTTATTGTTTAAACAAAGTTGGTCTATTGCTAATTCTATTTCTCTCACGGACAATTGTACGTCGTCCTATCAAAAATCACTATAACTGTAGGTTCTATATTTGCTAATTCTTTTTCTCTCACGGACAATTGTAAGTCGTCCTATCAAGAATCACTATAACTGTAGGTTTCAAATTCTTAAAGTAGCCAGCCTAAAAGTGTAACGACGATATTATTCTACAAAATATTGTATATCAAAAAGTTTCTATAATATATATATATATATATATATATAAAGAAAGGTTAAAGTTGCACTATCTTATATATTAAAACAGAAATCATGACTTGACTTCATGTGTGATTTTTTAAAAAATGGACTATTAATAGAAAGTTATGTTACATTAACTCTCTAATAATCTTATATTATATCTTATGAAAAATCATATTTATAATAACAAGGATACGCTTAACAATTTGGTTTGGTAAATTATCCCACACTTTCCAACTTAGTCATGCAAAATATGTCAATAGATATAAATTTATGAATCTTCTATTATTTATAAGGAAATATGTCAATAATAGTTAAATGCATCCACAATATATTAACAAAAATCACAGATTAGTAATATGAAATATTTATATACCCTAACAAAATTTACACGCTATATATACTAGATAAATTTATTTCGAAGTAAATTTTTATAATTATATTTTTTTAAAAAGAAATGGTTTAAAAATTTCTTTTTAATAAAATTCTTTATAATATTAATTTATGAATCTATAAATTTATTTTTTAGCAAAAATTTCTTCGAATTTTATATTATCTTTTCAAATTAAAGCATACTAATATTTAATCAAGCTCTATTTATATTACTTTATCTAAAAATGAAATACTAATCTAACAAACAATAAAATATAGAAGAAGAAACAAACACATGTTTGAAAAACATGTATAATATAGAAAATTTAAACAATCTATTTGATTAAAATACGTATTATATAATATTATTATGTTTGAAAAACATTTACTATACATATCGTAAATATGTGATTACTATAATATATATCAATTTACAAATGAAAACAAAATATTTATATAAGCTATAAACGAAAACAAACACCCGTGCGGTTGCACGGATCAAAATCTAATTGATGTTAAAGTAAACAAATTTGATGTTTAGCAATATATTTGATCTTTAGCTGACTAACAATAATATTTGAATTGTATTGTTTTCAATTTTTCTTAAACAATATAAAAATATACAGAGTTTTCAGTTAACTACAATTAATATTATTTTGAAAAAGTAATTAAAAATAAAGTATTTATTAAAAATAAGAAAAATTCATATACTATTGTAATAAACCATGGTTATTAAAAAAGAATTACTAATCAAAGTTTACCAAGAAGACATATATATTATTTAATACTAAAATAAGTTTTACATTAATATATACCAAAAATTCAAGAACTAATGCAAAATATGTATATTCATTATTTTATATGCTTTTGTAAAATTAAACATCAAATAAAATCTATATAACACATGGATTCTTATCTAGTTTCTTATAAAACAAACATTTACCTAAAAAGATGAGAACAATTCATATAAAAAGACCAAATAGTTTTAAAACATTTAAAGTGAGGGAGTACACTTTACAGGTTGTCTAAACGCAACGGTCATAATAAAAACTTATCGCGGCTCCAGATTGTTTTTATTATGATTAAATAACAATTAAAATAATCACCGATAGAAAAAGGCGCCGTCTCAGATTCTTTTTGAATAGATGCAAGTCGAAAAAGAAAATATATCACTCAAAGGCAGTTTTGAGTTCTTTATTTCAAGAAAAGACAGTTTCTGCTCCTAGAGCAGTTTTTCTAACTTATTCTATCTGTTTTCAACCAAACCAACTAAAAAGTCTAAAGTAATAGGACCCACTTCTCTTTCATCTTCCCCTCTTCTTATTTTCGTTCTCGTATTTTGTTATGCATTTTTTCATGAGATGGTCAAATCAAAAAGTCTCTTCTATATTACAAAACGAAATCACCACATTTATGGCTTTTCTCAAGCTTCAGTGGAGGATCTGTTTTCGCCTAAAAACCAGTTCAACCGGAATCCCATCGCTGACATGGTCCTCTGCCATGACGAACTCGTGCTTGGGCTCATCAGATTCATATGTAAATCTCTGATTCCATTTTTATACGATTCTAAAAAATTAGTTCATGCCCCAACTCGAAGCTATACTGAAGATCAAGTCGTCTGTGTCGTAACTCTCCTGCATGTGTTCAAAAACGCAGCAGTAATGGTCATAAATCAAGGAATAAACACTTACCGGACATGAACAAAAAGTGTTGTTTATAATCAGTTAAAACTCAATTTAAAAAAAAAAAGTTATTTCTTTAATTTATTTTGGTTAATCTAAACGAGATTTGTAAGTTTTTGTGTTAAAACCGCAAAGAAAATGATGATAAAGTGAAAAGAAACTAATGGCAGCTTGAATTGAAAGTTGCAGAGTTTTCTGTAACCTAAAAAGAAGAAGACAAGTTATTTACAAAATTGCGACTCATTAAAGACATGTTGCATAGTGATTGTGGACTTTAACAATGTGTACACTATTGTGGCGATATCAATTTGTACACTATTGTACCGATATTCGTGTACACCGTTGTAAATGGTATTTGTGTACATCAAATTAATGATATTTAATCCATCTTCTCGTGTACACTATTGTAACGATATCTATGTACATCGTTGTACATGTGTACGATAAATATGATAGTGTACATATATAAAACAACCAGAAATGAATCAAGCTAATACCTACCATGAATCTAACATGAAAACACACACATAACACATACACTAATTAGAAACTCTTAAACAAGGTGTGAAAGATGATATATGGGTTCAGTCAGATTTCAAAGATGCCCTGACACTGCATGTACATGGGAAGAAGGAAAAACAATTCACATATACATTGTGTTAACATTATCGTGAGTTTGTGAAATCGTAAAAGCTTAGTTATTGTGGTTGGAAACCTACAAAAATGTCAAAAATGTGTACACTCTCACTTTGATGCATAACACGAAATTAGGTGTACACATGTATAATTTAAATGTAATGTACACACGATTGTCGACCAGAAACTCTAATCTACGCCTTTGGTTTACATGTACATATGTGTTATATTTGTTTCTTATAGTTAAAAATCATAGAACATACATATACAAAAAAACTAGTCATATGTACATAGATATAAGATACCAAAATATACACATGTATATCAACATGTACATACAAAACTACTTATGTGTACATAAACAAAATCTCATATTGGGTTTGTACACATGCAATCATGTACACATATACATATATTCATGTTGTTTAATTCACGTAAAACCAACATGAGATTTTGTTTATGTACACATGAGTAGTTTTGTATGTACACATCGATATACATGTGTATATTTTGGTATCTAATATCTATGTACATATGAGACTGAAGTTTTGGAAGTGGAAATGTGAGTAGATGGACACATCAATGTATATATTTACGAAATACATAAACTTGTGAAGACGTACACATGTATACATGGTTATGGTACATTATTTTAATAATAAAGAGTGTACATATGTGATGATGTACACATGCAGACATATAATTGTACACATGT